AAAAAAAAAAAAAAAAAAAGAAAGAAATTCACAGTATAGAATTTAAACTTTAATCACATTATGGCAAATATTTTTAAAACGTTTATTATTACAACATAATACACGAGAACAAAACAGATTGAGATTGAGACAAACTGCAAACACATTTGTTAATGATACCTGTACTTGAGAGTGACAGTTTTTTTCTTATCTATACAACGTGACAGTATCAATTTATAGTTGTACAGATAAATAGAGGATTTTGGTGTCAGTTAGACCTGCTTGGAGTTTCTACTACATAATAGTAACCTTGAGAAACTAATTTGCCTGCTTTAAAATAAATTTTGTCTGTCAATAAAAATATAACTAGACATCTCAAAATGATGACTAAAGACAACTTACAGAATGGGAGAAAATATTTGCAAATTATGCTTTTGACAAAGGACCAATATTCATAATCTACAAGAAACACAAACAATTCAAAAAGAATGAAACAGAAAACAAATCACTACATTAAAAATTGGGCAAAGGACTTGATCAGATAATTTATCAAAAGAAGACATGCAAGATGACATCAAACACATGAAAAAATGCTCAATGTGCCTGATCATCAGAGAGTGCACATTAAGGCAACCATGGGTTACCATCTCAAGCCAGTCAGAATGGCTTTTGTTAAAAAGTCAGAACACAACAGATGTTGGTGAGGATGCAGAAAAAAGGGAACACTTATACACTATTGGTGGGAATATAAGTTAGTACAACCTGTATGGAAAACCTATGGAGCTTTATCAGAGAACTGAAACTAGAACTACCATTTGACCCCACAATCCCACTACTGAGTATCCAGCCAAAGAAAAATAAATCATTATATTAAAAAGACCCCTGCACTGGTATGTTTATGGCAGCACTACTCCCAGCAAAGTCCTGAAATTAACCCCAGTGCCCATCAACAGTGTATTAAATAAAGAAAACGTGGTATATATACACTATGGAATACAACTCAGCCAAAAAAAAAAAAAAAAAAAAAAAAAAAAAAAGAAATCATGTATTTTGCAGCAACATGGTTAGCACTGTAGGCCACTATGCTTTTTTTGTTTTCTTGAGATGAAGCCTCGCTCTGTTGCACAGGCTGGAATGCAGTGGCGCCATCTCGGCTCACTGCAACCTCCACCCTCTAGGTTCAAGCCATTCTCCTCTTCTGCCTCAGCCTCCCACATAGTGGGGATCATTGGCCTGGGCCACCACACCAGGCTAATTTTTGTAGTTTTAATAGAAATGAGGTTTTGCCATGTTGGCCAGGCTGGTCTTGAATTCCTGACTGGGATTCTTGAATCCCAGAGTGCTGGGATTAAAGGCATGAGCCACTGCACCAGACCTGGAGGCCATGATTATAAGTGAAAGAACTCAGTAACAGAAAATCAAATACCACACGTTCTCATGTATAAGTGGGAGCTATACAGTGCATACACATAGATACACAGAGAAAATAACAAGACACTAGGGACTCCAAAAGTGCGGAGGAGGGAAAGGGTTGATGGTAGAAAAATTACCTATTGGGTACAATGTTTACTATTCAGGTAATGGGTACACTAGAAGCCCAAACCTCACCATTATGCAATATACCCATGTAACAAACTTACACACGTACCTCTGATTCTATAAACATAAAATATACTGTTTAAAAACTGAACTATTGTATTAAGATACGTGTAAAACACAACACACAGCTATTATGTATGGATATAATATGGATATGTATTATATATATGTGTATGTAGAAGACTGACATACATATATGTTTTCATATTACAAGAAGGATCTAAAGCATTCTACAACATGAATAGTCAGCAAAGAACAAAGAATAAAAATTTCTAGATGGGAAATTCATTTCTGCAAATAGTGAGGAGGCTTGTATATTGCAAAAGCTTCCATAGATAACAAATAATCTGGAAAAATATTTCCTAAAAAACTATTTGAGGCCTTAGAGATTGAAAAATATGAAAAAAAAAAAAG